TAATGGGATTTGGGGGGCCGTGATTGGGTTTGAGGGGGATTTGGGGAGCTGGGATGGGGTTTGGGGATGCAGTGGGAGGGATCTGGGGGGTTGTGGGGGGTTTGGAGGGATTTGGGGGGATTTGATGGGGTTTGGAGGAATTTTGGGGGGGGATTTGGTGGGCTGTAGTGGGTTTTGGGTGGATTTTGGGGGGGATTTGGTGGGCTGTAGTGGGGTTTGGCGGTCTCTGACAGAGTTTGAGGGGATTTGGGGGGCTGTAGTGGGATCTGGGGTCTGCAATGGGGTTCGGGGGGCTGCAATGAGGGTTTGGGGGTCTCTGTGCCCCTTTCCCAGGACCCATCACCACCGACCTCTGCTCGTTCCCCCCCGAGACCCCCCAAAAGAGGGACCCCCCGCCATGGAGGTGAGGAGGGGTCTGCAGGGGGTGGATCCGGGGCTGGGGAGGGGTCACCGAGGGATTTCCCCCCCCCCAAATGTCCCCCTGTGCCCCCTCCCCTGCCAGGAGCTGCTGGAGCTGGGCCCGGGCTCTGAATTGGGGAGGGGGCTCCGCCTGGCCCGCGACAGCCACGGGGTCTTCGTGGCCGAGGCCCCCAAATCCCTGCGGCTGCGCCAGGGTGAGGACACCGGGGGGACTGGGAAGGACTGGGGTGACTGGGAGGGGACACTGGGGAGACTGGGGGACACTGGGGGGGACTGGGGTGCCCGCCGCGGGGCCCCGCGTCCCGGCCGTGGAGCTGGCGGCTCCCGGGGGCTCCCTGGGGCTGAGCGCACCCCCGTGGGCCAAGGGCGGCCCGGCCACGACCCCCGGTGGCGCCGGGGGAGATGGGGAGGGGGCGCCGGGCGCTCGGGTTGGGTTCCCGGCGCTCCGCGTCCCCTCCGTCCCCATCGATGTCCCCAAAGCCGCCGTGGAGCTGGCCCCGGAGCTCGGCCGCGCCGGCCCGGAGCCCCCCGGCGGCAGCCCGGGCGCGGGGTCCCGCTTTGCCGAGGGGCTGCGGAAGCTCAGCCGCGAGCTGGAGGCTCCGGCGGTGGAAATCGCCCCCAAGCCCCCCAAATTCCGCCTGCCCCGCCTGGGGTGGGCGCTGGCCAAGCTGCGGGAGGGCGGCGGGACCCCGCCGGCGTCGCCCCCCGGCATCGCCATTCCCAGCGTGGAGCTGGATCTGGGCGCGGTGGGAGACGCGGGGGCCAAGCTGAAGGTCCCCAAGTTGTCGCTGGCGCCCTTCGGTGACATCGAGGACGGTCCCCGCCTGGGGCTCGGCGGCGCCCCGGGGTCCCCCCGGCTCCGCGCCCCGCGGTTCGGCATCGCGGCGGCGGCGCTGCCGAAATTCGGGGGCTCCAGCCCCGACCTCCGCCCCGGGGGGGTCCCCAAGGCGCCCCCGAAACGGGGGGGCAGCGCCGAGAGCCTGATCCTGGGCTGGACGGCCCCGGAGCCCGCCGCGACCCTCCGCTCCCGACCGAAACCTCGGGGGGCTTCGGCGCCGCCGTGGCCGCCCCGGATCCCCATCCCCGCCGTGGGGTTCGCCCTGCCGGGGCCAGAACCGGCCCCGGGGCGCGCCGAGCCCCGCCGGGCTGCGGAGCCGCCGGGGCTGAAGGTGCCGCTGCTGGAGCTGGCTCCGCCCGGCCTGGACGGCACCTCGGAGCCGCCCGGGCGCCGCTTTGGGGTGAAACTCCCCAAATTCGGGGCCGGCTCCTCCGGGAGCGGCGCGGGATCCTCGGCGAGGATGAGGAGGGGCGGCTCCAAGCCCGGCCCTGAGGAAGGGGGAGCCCCCCGGGATGGGAACCCCCGGCGCCGCCGCTGGGTGCCCAGGGTGGGTTTCACCCCCGGGGGGGCCTCGCCGGAGCCCCCCAAGGTGGGGAGGATGCGGTTCCCCGACGTGGAGCTCTGCCCCGGGGACCCCCAAATCCCCGCGGTCGGGGGGGTCTCCTCCCGCTGCGATCCCGGGGGGCTCCGGGGCGAGGGGACCCCCAAATTCCAGCTGCCGCAGCTGGTGCTGAGCCCCCAAATCTGCGGCGAGCCATGAGCCCCCCCCCAGCCTGGGGGGGCTCTGGGGACCCCCCGAAGCGGTGACGGAGCTCCCCCAGACCCTCTCTAACTCCCTCCCTCCCAAATTCCTAATCCGGCTTTTTTTTCGGGGGAGCTTTGAGGCTTTTTCGCCCATTTTTGGGGTGTTTCTGTTAACCAGGGAAGGGGGGCACGAGGCTGTTGCCCCCCACCCCGGCCCCTCGCGCTTGTTTTGGCCAGAATAAATGTTAATCCAAAAAAAAAACCCGGAGTGTGATGGGGCTGGGGGGTCCAGGGGTGGGTTTGGGGGTCGAGGGATGGGATTAGGGGTCCAGGGAAGAGTTTTGGGGTCCAGGGTGGGGTTTGGGGAACCAGGGAGGGGTTTGAGGGTCCAGGGATGGGATTGGGGGTTCAGGGATGGGATTGGGGAACCAGGGAGGGGTTTGGGGGTCCAGGGAAGGGATTGGGGGGTCTAGGAAGGGGTTTGGGGGTCCAGGGAGGAGTTTGGGGGTCCAGGGATGGGATTGGAGTTCCACATATGGGATTGGGGGTCAAGGAAGGGGTTTGAGGGTCCAGGGATGGGATTGGGGTTCCAGGGATGGGACTGGGGGTCCAGGGAAGGGTTTGGGGGTCAAGGAAGGGGTTTGAGGGTCCAGGGAGGGGTTTAGGGGTCCAGGGATGGAATTGAGGAATCAGGAAAGGGTTTTGGGGATCCAGGGAAGGTGGCTGACGCGGGCGAAGGGGATGCGGCTCTGCGCCGCGCTGGCCGGCACCAGGAACAGCCGCTACCCCGGGGACAGAAGGGACTGTCACCACCCCGAGGGGACTGTCACCCACCCCAAGGGGATTGTCACCCACCCCAAAGTGATTGTCACCCACCCCAAGGGGATTGTCACCCACCCCAAAGTGATTGTCACCACCCCGAGGGGACTGTCACACCCCTGAGGACATTGTCACGCTCCTGAAGGGATTATCACACCCTCTGAGGAGATTGTCACACCCCTGAGGAGATTGTCACACCCCTGAGGGGATTGTCACACCCCTGAGGGGACTGTCACCCACCCCTGAGGACACTGTCACACTCCTGAGGGGACTGTCACACCCCTGAGGGGATTGTCACCTCCCCTGAGGGAACTGTCACCCTTTAAAGGGACTGCCACCCCCGGTGCCACCCCCCCTGATGCCACCACCGCCCCCGGTGCCACCACCCCTGATGCCACCACCGCCCCCGGTGGCACTGCCAGCCCCCCGATGCCACCAGCCCCGTGTCACCGCGGCACGCACCACCTGCACGCGGTAGCCGGTGCGGTTGTCGGCGAGCGCGGCCAGCGAGCGCAGGAAGGGGAACATGGCCGGGTGGCTGTGGGGCCAGCAGCCGGCCAGCAGCCGCAGCCGCAGGCCGCGCTCCACCGCGGCGCGCCGCAGCCGCTCGTCGATGGCCGGCCAGAAGCGCCGCGGGCGCGAGAACTCGGTGCCCGGCACGTAGCTCATCACCGCCACGTCCACGAAGGCCTCGGCGCCGTCGATGACGGCCAGCAGCGCCTCCAGGTCCGGCGTGCGGCCCGCGGCGCACAGCGGCGCCGGGGAGCTCTGCCGGGCCGGCACACGGGGGTCGGCGCCCGTGGGGGGACGCCTGAGAGCCCCGGAGAGCCCCGGGGACACCCTGAGACCCCAGAGAGCCCCAGAGAATCCCGGGGACCCCCAGGGACACCTTGAGACCCCCTGAGACCCCCGGGGACCCCCAGGGACACTCTGAGACCCCCAGAGAGCCCCAGGGACCCCCAGGGACCCCAGGGAACCCTGAGACCCCCAGAGAGCCCCGGGGACCCCCAGGGACCCCAGGGAGCCCCAGGGACACCCTGAGACCCCCAGAGAGCTCCAGGGACCCCCAGGGACACCCTGAGACCCCCGGAGAGCCCCGGGGACCCCCAGGGACCCCAGGGATCAGAGACCCTGGAGACCCCCAGGACCCTGGAGACACTCAGAGGACCCTGGAGACCCCCAGGGACCCTGGAGACCCTCAGAGACCCCTGGAGACCCCCAGAGATCCCCAGAGACCCTGGAGACCCCCAGAGACCCTGGAGACCCCCAGAGACCCCTGGAGACCCCCAGAGATCCCCAGAGACCCCCGAGACCCCCGGCGGTGAGCCCTACCGAGAAGAAGACGGCGGCGGCGGTGTCGTTGAGCGTCACCTCCAGCGGCGTCTGCAGGTTGATGGAGGTGGAGAAACTCTCCGGCCACGGCGCCGGGATGGACGCGCCGGGGACGCCCAGGGCCCAGTAGGCCTCGAAGATCTTGCCCAGGTCTTGGGCCAGGCAGCTGCAGTTGTAGATGGCGGCTCCGAGCTCCTTCACCTGCGGCGAGCGGCGCCGGCGGCTCGTGGCACGGGCAGGGCGTGGGGCAGCCCCGATGGGCAGGGCGTGGGGCAGCCCCGGTGCCGGGGTTGGGTGGTGCCCACGGCCTTGGGCTGAGTGCCAGCCGGTGGGTTTGGCACCGTCCAATTGGGTTTGGGTCAAGCTCATTGGGTTTGGGTCAAGCTCATTGGGTTTGGTGTCATCCAATTGGGTTTGACACCATTCACGTTGGGTCTGGCACCAATCCCATTGGGTTTGGCGCCATTCATGTTGGGTTTGGGGTCAAGCTCATTGGGTTTGGGTCAAGCTCATTGGCTTTGGCATCGCCCAATTGGGTTTGGGTCAAGCTCATTGGGTTTGGGACAGTCCAATTGGGTTTGGCATCGTCCAATTGGGTTTGGGTCAAGCTCATTGGGTTTGGCATCGTCCGTTTTGGGTTTTGGGTCAAGCTCATTGGGTTTGGGACAGTCCAATTGGGTTTGGGTCAAGCTCATTTGGTTTGGCACCATCCACGTTGGGTTTGGCACCATTCCTTGGGTTCCACACCAACCCCATTGGGTTTGGGGCCAATCCCATTGGGTTTGGGGCCAATTCCATTGGGTTCCACACCGATCCCATCGGGTTTGGGGCCATCCATTGGGTTTGGGGCCAATCCCATCAGTTTTGGGACCATCCATTGTGTCCCACACTGATCCCATCGGGTTTGGGACCATCCATTGGGTTTGGGGCCAATCCCACCCAATTGGGTTTGGGTCAATCTCATTGGGTTTGGTGTCATCCAATTGGGTTTGACACCATTCATGTTGGGTCTGGCACCAATCCCATTGGGTTTGGCACCATTCATGTTGGGTTTGGGTCAAGCTCATTGGGTTTGGCATCGTCCAGTTGGGTTTGGGTCAAGCTCATTGGGTTTGGGACAGTCCAATTGGGTTTGGCATCGTCCAATTGGGTTTGGGTCAAGCTCATTGGGTTTGGCATCATCCATGTTGGGATTGGTGCCAACCCCATTGGATTCGGCACCAATCCTGTTTGGTTTGGCACCGTCCATTTGGTTTGCTGCCAACCCCATTGGATTTGGGACCACCTATTTCGTTTGGCACCATCCATGGGGTCCCACACTGACCCCATCGGGTTTGGGACCATCCATGGGGTCCCACACCGACCCCATCGGGTTTGGGACCATCCATGGGGTCCCACACCGACCCCATCGGGTTTGGGACCATCCATGGGGTCCCACACCGACCCCATCGGGTTTGGGACCATCCATGGGGTCCCACACCGACCCCATCGGGGGGGGAAAGGGGGAAATGGGGGGAAAATGGGGGAAATGGGGGAAATGGGGGCGGAATGGGGGGAAATGGGGAAAAATGAATGGAAATGGGGAGAAATGGGGGGAAAATGAGGGGAAATGGGGGAAAATGGGGGGAAATGAGGGGGAAAATGGGGAAATGGGGGAAAATGAGGAAAAAAGGGGGAAGTGGGGCAGAAATGGGGGAAAAATGGGGAAAAATTGAGGGAAAAATGGGGAAATGGGAATGAGGAAAAAAGAGGGAAATGGGGCAAAAATGGGGGAAATGGGGAAAAATGAGGAGGAAATGCGGGAAAAATGGGGGGAAAAATGGGGGAAACGGGGCAAAAATGGGGCAAAAATGGGCAAAAATGAGCAAAAAATGGGGCAAAACCAAGCAAAAAAAGGAGCAAAAATGGGCATTAAATGCGCAAAAAAAAGAGAAAAAAGGGTAAAAACTGGGAGGGAAGTGTGCGAGGCGTGTCCCACCTGCGCGGCGCTGGGCTCGCGCGTGCCCGTGTCGGCGTTGGTCAGGGTCCAGTAGAAGGAGGCGATGTCCACTGGCCAGCAGGACACACGGAAAAGGGACAAAAATGGGCAAAAACGGGCAAAAATAGGCAAAAAAAACAGAGGAAAAAGTGGAAAAAACTGAGGAAAATGGGCAAAAAATGGGGCAAAAATGGGCAAAACCAAGCAAAAAAAAGGGGCAAAAATGAGCCAAAAAAAGGGAAAAAATGGACAAAAATCAGGCAAAAAATGGGTAAAAATTAGGCAAAAAATGGGAAAAAAACAGGCAAAAAATGGGAAAAAACCAGGAAAAAATGGGTAAAAATTGGGCAAAAAAGGGGGAAAAGTGTGTAAAAATGGGCAAAATCAGGCAAACGTGGGTAAAAAAACGAGGCAAAAAACAGTCCAAAAAGGAGCAAAAATGGGTGAAAAAATGGGCAAAAAATGGGCAAAAAAGGGCAAAAATGGGCGAAAAAAGGGCAAAAATGGGAGAAAAAAAGGGTAAAAATGGCTATTAAAAGAGCAAAAAATAGGCAAAAAATAGGCAAAAAAAGGGCAAAAAAAGGGCAAAAAAGGGTAAAAAAAAGGGAAAAAAAGGGAAAAAAAAGTGAAGTTTAGTGATGCGTGTCCCACCTGCGCGGCGCTGGGCTCGCGCGTGCCCGTGTCGGCGTTGGTCAGGGTCCAGTAGAAGGAGGCGATGTCCACGCTGCGCCGCGCCCCGGCCAGCAGCCCCAGCCACGCCTCGGACGTGGCCGTGCCGGCCGCGGCCGCCGCCATGCCCTCGGGGATGCTCTCCACCAGCACGATCCTGAGAATTTGGGGGTTTGCGGGGGTCCCGGGGGGTCCCCTCGCCCCAAAAGCCGGCCTTACCTGCAGGTGTCCCCGCAGGGGACGTCGGCGGCGCCGCGGGGGCGCAGGTGGAGGAGGAGGAGGAGGGTGAGGAGGAAGAGCGTGGAGAGCACGGCGAGGAGCGCGGCGCCGTGGGGGCGCTGGGGGGACGCCAAAATCGGGGGGTTTGGGTTAATTTTGGGGTTCAACCCCAGGAAAGGGGCAGGGAGAGGGTGGGGGAGGGGTACCTTGGGGGTCGGCGTCGCTCGGGGCTCCAGGGGGTCCAGCTGGGGGGGGGGAACGACCCCAAATTTGGGGGGTGGAGACCCCAAATTGGGGAGGGGGATGGGTTGAAGCACACCCCGAAATTCCCAGGATCCCCCAAAATTCCCAGGATCCCCCAAAGTTGCCAGGATCCCCCCACCCCCATTCCCAGGGGGTCCCGTGGGAGTTTGGGGTGGGGGGAGCCCCGAGGTTTGGGGAGTTGGGGGCTCTGTGACCCCAAACAAGGAGGTTTGGGACCCCCAAAATGGGGGTTTGGGGAGAGAATTGACCCCATTTGGGTTTTGGGGTGTCCCAGGAGTCCCAAATTTGGGGTTTGGGGAAGGGAACGCACCCAGTCTGGGGGGGGGTTTGGGGAGAGAATTGACCCCATTTGGGTTTTGGGGTGCGGTGGGAGCCCCAAATCCGGATTTTTGGGGTGCCCCCAGCCCACTCTAGGATTTAGGACAGAGAATCCCCCCAGTTTGGATTTTGGGGTATCCCAGGACCCCCAAATCCGGGTTTTTGGGGTGCCCCAGCCCAGTTTGGGGTTTGGGACAGGGAAATCCCTCAGTTCAGGTTTTGGGGTGCCCCAAATCCGGGTTTTTGGGGTGCCCCAGCCCAGTTTGGGGTTTGGGACAGGGAATCCCCCCAGTTCAGGTTTTGGGGTGCCCCCAAACTTGGTTTTTTGGGGTACCCCAGCCCAGTTTGGGGTTTGGGACAGGGAAATCCCTCAGTTCAGGTTTTGGGGTGCCCCAAATCCGGGTTTTTGGGGTGCCCCAGCCCAGTTTGGGGTTTGGGACAGGGAATCCCCCCAGTTCAGGTTTTGGGGTGCCCCCAAACTCGGGTTTTTGGGGTGCCCCCGCCCACTCTGGGATTTGGGACAGGGAAATCCCTCAGTTCAGGTTTTGGGGTGCCCCCAAATCCGGGATTTTGGGGTGCCCCAGCCCAGTTTGGGGTTTGGGACAGGGAATCCCCCCAGTTCAGGTTTTTGGGGTGCCCCAGGACCCCTAGATTTGGGTTTTTGGGGTGCCCCAGCCCACTCTGGGGTTTGGGACAGGGAATCCCCCCAGTTCAGGTTTTTGGGGTGCCCCAGGACCCCTAGATTTGGGTTTTTGGGGTGCCCCAGCCCACTCTGGGGTTTGGGACAGGGAATCCCCCCAGTTCAGGTTTTTGGGGTGCCCCAGGACCCCTAGATTTGGGTTTTTGGGGTGCCCCAGCCCACTCTGGGGTTTGGGACAGGGAATCCCCCCAGTTCAGGTTTTTGGGGTGCCCCAGGACCCCTAGATTTGGGTTTTTGGGGTGCCCCAGCCCACTCTGGGGTTTGGGACAGGGAATCTCCCCATTTGGGTTTTGGGGTGCCCCCAAATTTGGGATTTTGGGGTGCCCCCAGCCCAGTTTGGGGTTTGGGACAGGGAATCCCCCCAGTTTGGGTTTTGGGGTGCCCCAGGAGTCCCAGGACAGGGAATCCCCCCAGTTCAGGTTTTGGGGTGCCCCCAAATCCGGGTTTTTGGGGTGCCCCAGCCCACTCTGGGATTTGGGACAGGGAAATCCCTCAGTTCAGGTTTTTGGGGGCCCCAAATCCGGGTTTTTGGGGTGCCCCAGCCCAGTTTGGGGTTTGGGACAGGAAATCCCCCCAGTTCAGGTTTTTGGGGTGCCCCAAATCCGGGTTTTTGGGGTGCCCCAGCCCACTTTGGGGTTTGGGACAGGGAATCCCCCCAGTTCAGGTTTTGGGGTGCCCCAAATCCGGGTTTTTGGGGTGCCCCAGCCCAGTTTGGGGTTTGGGACAGGGAATCCCCCCAGTTCAGGTTTTTGGGGTGCCCCAAATCCGGGTTTTTGGGGTGCCCCAGCCCACTCTGGGATTTGGGACAGGGAAATCCCTCAGTTCAGGTTTTTGGGGTGCCCCAGGACCCCCAAACTCGGGTTTTTGGGGTGCCCCAGCCCTACCTGCGCGTAGGCTCCGTGCAGCCCCATCCCGGCACGAGGCTGGAACAGGAAAATCCGGATTTACCCCTGGGGGGTTTGGGGTTTTTGGGGTGCGGGGCAGGGCACGAACCCCAAAAACCCCGGGGTTCAGGAGCCCAAAAACCCCGGGGTTCAGGACCCCAAAAATCCCGGGGTTCAGGAGCCCAAAAATCCAGAGCAGACCCCAAAGAATTCCCCAAAACTGGGAGGGGACGGGACGGGACGGGACCTCCCCCCGTGCAGCCCCATCCCGGCACGAGGCTGGAACAGGAAAATCCGGATTTACCCCTGGGGGGTTTGGGGTTTTTGGGGTGCGGGGCAGGGCAGGAACCCCAAAAACCCCGGGGTTCAGGACCCCAAAAATCCAGAGCAGACCCCAAAGAATTCCCCAAAACTGGGAGGGGACGGGACGGGACCTCCCCCACCCCAAAATCGGGGCTGGGCCCCCCCGGGGGAGGGCGGGGTCCCCAAAATCGGGGCAGAGCCGGGACGGGTGTGGGGCCACTTTAGGGTCAGTTTGGGGGAAATTTGGGGCTGTTTTGGGGTCATTTGGAGGTGAATTTAGGGTCAGTTTGGGGGTGAATTTGGGGCTGGTTTTGGGGTCATTTGGGGGTGAATTTAGGGTCAGTTTGGGGGTGAATTTGGGGCTGTTTTGGGGTCATTTGGGGTGAATTTAGGGTCAGTTTGGGGGTGAATTTAGGGTCAGTTTGGGGGTGAATTTGGGGCTGGTTTTGGGGCACATTTAATGCCGTTTTAGGGCTGTTTGGGGACAAATTTGGGGTCAGTTTGGGGACACATTTAGAACCCAATTTGGGACACATTTAGGGCCGGTTTAGGGGCACATTCAGGACCCCTTAAAGGACACATTTGTGGCCCATTTGGGGACACATTTAGGGCCGTTTTAGGGCCACTTTGGGACAAATTTAGGGGCAGTTTAGGGCCATATTTAGGGCTGGTTTAGGAACAAATTCGGGACCCATTTGGGGACACATTTAGGGCTGGGTTTGGGTTGGGTTTAGGGCAGGTTTCAGAGCAGTTTTGGGACACATTTGGGGCAGTTTTGTGACAATTTTGGGGCAGTTTTTGGACAGTTTTGAGGCAGTTTTGGGGCAATTTTGGGGAGGTTTCGCGGCAGTTTTGGGGCGGTTTGGGGGCAGTTTTGGAGTGGATTTAGGGCAGTTTTGGGACCGATTTTGGAGCAGATTTTGGGGTGGTTTCATGGCAGTTTTGGAGCAGATTTTGGGGCGATTTTAGGACAGTTTTGGGGCGGTTTCGTGGCAGTTTTGGGGCGATTTTAGGACAGTTTTGAGGCAGATTTTAGGGCGGTTTTGGAGCAGTTTTAGGGCAGTTTCGTGGCAGTCTTGGGGCAGTTTCGGAGTAGATTTTGGGGCGATTTTAGGACAGTTTTGCAGCAGATTTTGGGGAGGTTTCAGGGCAGTTTTGGGGCCGTTCTGGAGCAGATTTTGGGGCGATTTTAGGACAGTTTTGTAGCAGCTTTCGGGGAGGTTTCAGGGCAGTTTTGGGGCCGTTCTGGAGCAGATTTTGGGGCGATTTTAGGACAGTTTTGCAGCAGATTTTGGGGCGGTTTCCCAAATCCAAACTTTTCACCCCAAATCCCTTTTTTCCCCTCTAAAATTTCATTTTTCCCTCCCAAATTTCATTTTTTCTCCCCGAAATTTCATTTTTCCACACCTAAATTTCATTTTTTTCTCCCCAACTTTCATTTTCTCCCTAAATTTCATTTTTTCTCCCCAAGTTTCGTTTTCTTTCCCTAAATTTCATTTTTCCCCCTCAAATTTCATTTTTCCCCCAAATTTCATTTTTTCTCCCCCAAATTTCATTTTCCCCCTCAAATTTCATTTCCCCCCTAAATTTCATTTTTTCTCCCCCAAATTTCATTTTCCACCCCAAAATTTCATTTTTCTCCCCTAAATTTCATTTTTTCTCCCTCAAATTTCATTTTTCCTCTCAAATTTCATTTTTCCCCTCTCAAATTTCATTTCCCCTCCCCAAATTTCATGTTTTTTCCCCTAAATTTCATTTTTACACTCCCAAATTTCATTTTTTCTCCCCCAAATTTCATTTTTTACCCCCAATCCCATTTTTCCACCCCCTCCAATCCCATTTATTCACCCCAAATCTCATTTTTCCCCTAAAATTCCCTTTTTTCCCCCAAAATTTGTTTTTTTTTTCACTATTTCCCATCTTTTCCTCTGCAAATCCCATTTCTCACCTCCCTCAATCCCATTTTTTTTCCCCAAAATCTAATTTTCCCCCTATTTTTCCTCATTTCCCCCATTTTTTCGCTATTTCCCTCCAATTTTTCCTATTTTTCCCAATTTTTCCCCATTTTCCTTTTGTTTCTCATTTGTTTCCCATTTTTCCTCCATTTCTCCCCATTTTTCCCCTCATTTTCCCCATTTCCCCCCATTTTTCCCCATTTATCCCAAATTTTCCCCTCTCAAATTTCATTTCCCCTCCCCAAATTTCATGTTTTTTCCCCTAAATTTCATTTTTACACTCCCAAATTTCATTTTTTCTCCCCCAAATTTCATTTTTTACCCCCAATCCCATTTTTCCACCCCCTCCAATCCCATTTATTCACCCCAAATCTCATTTTTCCCCTAAAATTCCCTTTTTTCCCCCAAAATTTGTTTTTTTTTTCACTATTTCCCATCTTTTCCTCTGCAAATCCCATTTCTCACCTCCCTCAATCCCATTTTTTTTCCCCAAAATCTAATTTTCCCCCTATTTTTCCTCATTTCCCCCATTTTTTCGCTATTTCCCTCCAATTTTTCCTATTTTTCCCAATTTTTCCCCATTTTCCTTTTGTTTCTCATTTGTTTCCCATTTTTCCTCCATTTCTCCCCATTTTTCCCCTCATTTTCCCCATTTCCCCCCATTTTTCCCCATTTATCCCAAATTTTCCCATTTCCCCCCATTTTTCCCCATTAATACTGATTTTTCTTCATTTATTCCAATTTTCCTCCATTTTTTCCTGTTTTTTTTTCCCTTTTTTCCCGTTTTTTCCCCATTTCCCCCCCATTTCCCACTTTTTTTCACCATATTCCCCAATTTTTCCAGGTTTTATTCCTGTTTTTTCCTATTTTCACCCCATTTTCCTCATTAATACCAATCTTTTCTTCATTTATCCCAATTTTTCCCCATTTTCCCACCATTTTTTCACATTTTTTTCCCAACTTCTTGTTTGTTTTCCCCTTTTTCCTCCCATTTCCCCCCATTTTATTTCTTTTTTTTCTCATTTTCCCCCATTTTTCCCCTATTTTCCCATTTTATCTCTTTTATTTTTAATTTTTTTCCCATTTTCTCCCATTTTCCCCGTTTTTCCTGGGGTTTCCTGGTTTTTTCCCCATTATTGCCCTTTTCCCCTGTTTTTTTCTCTATTTTTCCCTATTTTTCCCCATTTCCCCCCCATTTAATCTCTTTTTTCCCTCCATTTTTTGGTTTCCCCCCATTTTTCTCCATTCTTCCCCTTTTTCCCCCCATTTTATCTCTTTTTTTCCCATTTTCCACCATTTTTTCACATTTTTTTCCCAACTTCTTGTTTGTTTTCCCCTTTTTCCTCCCATTTCCCCCCATTTTATTTCTTTTTTTTCTCATTTTCCCCCATTTTTCCCCTATTTTCCCATTTTATCTCTTTTATTTTTAATTTTTTTCCCATTTTCTCCCATTTTCCCCGTTTTTCCTGGGGTTTCCTGGTTTTTTCCCCATTATTGCCCTTTTCCCCTGTTTTTTTCTCTATTTTTCCCTATTTTTCCCCATTTCCCCCCCATTTAATCTCTTTTTTCCCTCCATTTTTTGGTTTCCCCCCATTTTTCTCCATTCTTCCCCTTTTTCCCCCCATTTTATCTCTTTTTTTCCCATTTTTCCCATTTTTCCCCCATTTTCCCCCATTTTGTCTCTTTTTTTCCCACTTTTTCTGCTTTTCCCCCATTTCCCTCCCATTTTATGTCTTTTTTTTTTCATTTTTCCCATTTTTCCCCATTTCCCCACGTTTTATATCCTTTTTTCCTGGTTTTTCCCATTTTTTCCTTTTTTTTTCCATTTTCCCCCCATTTCCCCCCATTTTATCTCTTTTTTTCCCTGTTTTTTCCCATTTTTTGGTCCCATTTCCCCCCATTTTCTCTCATTTTCCCCATTTTCCCCGTTTTCCCCCTGTTTTTCCCCATTTTCCCCCCATTTTTCCTCATTTTCTCTCATTTTTCTCTCATTTCTCTCTCATTTTTCTCTCATTTTCCCCCCGTTTTTCCCCATTTTCCCCCCATTTTCTCCCATTTTCTCTCATTTTCCCCATTTTTCCGCATTTCCCCCCATTTTTCCCCATTTTCCCCCCATTTTCCCCCCATTTTTCCTCATTTTCTCTCATTTTTCTCTCATTTCCCCTGTTTTTCCCCATTTCCCCCCCACTTTCCGCCCCCTTTTCCCCCCCTTTCTCCCCCCTTTCCCCCCTTTTTCCCCATTTCCCCCCCATTTTCCGCCCGTTTTCCCCCCATTTTCCCCCCGTTTCCCCCCATTTTCTCTAATTTTCTCTCATTTTCCCCATTTTCCCCGTTTTCCCCCCGTTTCCCCCAATTTTCTCTCATTTTCTCTCATTTTCCCCATTTTCCCGTTTTCCCCCCGTTTCCCCCAATTTTCTCTCATTTTCTCTCATTTTCCCCATTTTCCCCGTTTTCCCCCCGTTTCCCCCAATTTTCTCTCATTTTCTCTCATTTTCCCCATTTTCCCCGTTTTCCCCCCGTTTCCCCCAATTTTCTCTCATTTTCTCTCATTTTCCCCATTTTCCCCGTTTTGCCCCCGTTTCCCCCCAGCCACCGGGGAGTGGCTGCGATTCTTCGAGGACGCCGGGATCCCGCCGGGCCCCGCGCTCGGCTACGCCGTCGCCTTCGTGGACAACAGGTGGGCAACGGGGGAGAGAGACCCCCGAATTCGGGGAGAGACCCCCGGGAATGGGGGAGAGAGACCCCCAAAATGGGGGAGAGAGACCCCCGGGAATGGGGGAGAGACCCCAAAAATGGGGGAGAGAGACCCCCGGGAATGGGGGAGAGACCCCAAAAATGGGGGAGAGAGACCCCGAAAATGAGGGGGAAAGACCCTAAAAATGGGGGAGAGAGAGACCCCCGAAATGGGGGAGAGAGACCCTGGGAGAGACCCCTGAAAATGGGGGAGAGAGACCCCCAAAAATGGGGGAGAGAGAGAGACTCCAAAAGGGGGGAGAGATCCCCAAACTGGGGGGGAGAGACCCCCGAAAATGGGGGAGAGAGATCCCCAGAAACTGGGGAGAGACCCCTGGGAATGGGGGGAGAGAGAGCCCTGAAAATGGGGAGAGAGACCCCCAAAAATTGGGGAGAGACCCCCAAATTGGGGGAGAGAGACCCCTGAATGGGGGAGAGAGACCCCCAGAAACTGGGGAGAGAGACCCCCGAATTGGGGGAGAGAGACCCCCGGGAATGGGGGAGAGAGAGCCCTGAAAATGGGGAGAGACCCCCAAAATGGGGGAGAGAGACCCCCGGGAATGGGGGAGAGAGACCCCTGGGAATGGGGGATAGAGACCCCTGGGAATGGGGGAGAGAGACCCCCAGAAATGGGGGAGGAGAGACCCCGAAAATGGGGGGAGAGAGAGCCCCGGGAGACACCCCCGAACTGGGGGGGAGAGACCCCCAGGAGAGACCCCCGGGAATGGGGGAGAGAGACCCCCAAAATGGGGGAGAGAGACCCCCGGGAATGGGGGAGAGACCCCCGGGAATGGGGGAGAGAGACCCCCGGGAATGGGGGAGAGAGACCCCCAAAATGGGGGAGAGAGACCCCCGGGAATGGGGGAGAGACCCCCGAAAATGGGGGAGAGAGACCCCCGGGAATGGGGGAGAGACCCCAAAAATGGGGGAGAGAGACCCCCGGGAATGGGGGAGAGACCCCAAAAATGGGGGAGAGAGACCCCGAAAATGAGGGGGAAAGACCCTAAAAATGGGGGAGAGAGAGACCCCCGAAATGGGGGAGAGAGACCCTGGGAGAGACCCCTGAAAATGGGGGAGAGAGACCCCCAAAAATGGGGGAGAGAGAGAGACTCCAAAAGGGGGGAGAGATCCCCAAACTGGGGGGGAGAGACCCCCGAAAATGGGGGAGAGAGATCCCCAGAAACTGGGGAGAGACCCCTGGGAATGGGGGGAGAGAGAGCCCTGAAAATGGGGAGAGAGACCCCCAAAAATGGGGGAGAGAGAGAGACTCCAAAAGGGGGGAGAGATCCCCAAACTGGGGGGGAGAGACCCCCAGGAGAGACCCCCGGGAATGGGGGAGAGAGACCCCCAAAAATGGGGGAGAGAGAGAGACTCCAAAAGGGGGGAGAGATCCCCAAACTGGGGGGGAGAGACCCCCAGGAGAGACCCCCGGGAATGGGGGAGAGAGACCCCCAAAAATGGGGGAGAGAGAGAGACTCCAAAAGGGGGGAGAGATCCCCAAACTGGGGGGGAGAGACCCCCAGGAGAGACCCCCGGGAATGGGGGAGAGAGACCCCTGGGAATGGGGGAGAGAGACCCCCAGAAATGGGGGAGGAGAGACCCCGAAAATGGGGGGAGAGAGAGCCCCGGGAGACACCCCCGAACTGGGGGGGAGAGACCCCCAGGAGAGACCCCCGGGAATGGGGGAGACACCCCCGGGAATGGGGGAGAGAGAGCCCTGAAAATGGGGGAGAGACCCCTGGGAGAGACCCCCGGGAATGGGGGAGAGACCTCTGGGAATGGAGGGTGGATCCCTGGAGGAATCTGAGTGGGTCCCGTGGGAATCTGGGTGGGTTTCGGTGGATCCGGGTGGATCCCAGGCAGGACTGAGGGGATCTGAGTGGATCCCGTGGGAATCTGGGTGGGTTTCAGTGGAATCCAGCTGGGCCTCAGGCAGATCTGAGGGAATCCAGGTGGATCCGGGGGGAGGTCTGGGTGGATCCCATGGAAATCTGGGTGGATTTCAGTGGAATTTGGGTGGATCCCAGGCAGAACTGAGGAAATCCTCGTGGATCCCTGGGTGGATCCCAGGCAGAACCAAGGGGATTCCTGGGTGGATCTCAGGCAGACACAGCTAAAACTGAGGGGATCTGGGTGGATCCCATGGAAATCGGGGTGAATTTCAGTGGATTTCTGGGTGGATCCTGGGCAGATCCAGGCAGAACTGAGGGAATCCTGGGTTTATCTGGGTGGATCCCAGGCAGAACCGAGAGGATCCAGGTGGATCCCAGGCAGAGCTGAGGACATCCGGGTGGATCCCAGTCAGAACCGAGGGGATCTGGGTGGGTTTCAGTGGAATTTGGGTGGATCCCGGGCAGAGCTGAGGAAATCCAGGTGGATCCCAGTCAGAACCGAGGGGATCTGGGGTGGATCCCGGGTGGATCCCGGGCAGACACAGCTAAAACTGAGGGGATCTGGGTGGATCCCATGGAAATCGGGGTGGGTTTCAGTGGAATCTGGGTGGATCCCAGTCGGAAGCGAGGGGGTCTGGGGTGGATCCCAGTGGATCCCAGGCAGACACAGCTAAAACTGAGGGGATCTGGGTGGATCCCATGGAAATCGGGGTGAATTTCAGTGGATTTCTGGGTGGATCCCAGGCAGGACCGAGGGGGTCTGGGGTGGATCCCGGTGGATCCCGGCCTTTCCCCGCAGGATCCACAAGAACATGCTGCTGGACCTGACCAGGGAGCTGATGAAGGAGCTGGGCATCACCGTGGTGGGCGACGTCATCGCCATCCTGCGCCACGCCAAGGTGGGCTGAGATCACCCCAAGCCAATCAGAGAGCAGCAGATCCCCCCAGATCCCCCTGGGATCTCTCAGGATCCCTTTCCCATGTCCAGGGGTCAGGGAGGGGCTGGGATCAATCCAGGGGGGTTGGGAGAAGCTGGGATCACCCCAAACCCATCAGAGAGCAGCAGATCCCCCTCGGATCCCCCCGGATCCCTGTGGATCCCTTTGCTGTGTCCAGACATCAGGGAGGGGCTGGGATCGATCTGGGGGGGTGGGATGGATCCAGAAGGATCAGGGAGGGCACCCAAACCAATCAGAGAGGAGCAGATCCCCCCAGATCCCCCGGGATCCCCCCGGATCCCCCTGGATCCCTTCCCCATGTCCAGGGGTCAGGGAGGGGCTGGGATCAATCCAGAGGGGGTGGGAGGAGCTGGGATCACCCCAAACCAATCAGAGAGCAGCAGATCCCCCCGGATCCCCGGGATCCCGCGCTCCCTGGCTCCCTCTCCCGCGGCAGGCGGATCGGCTCCCGCGGCGCCGGCGCTGCCGCCCAAGCGGCGCCGGGTGACGGCCGAGGCCGAGGGCCAGTACGTGATCTCGCTGCCCAAGGGCGCCGCGGCCCGCGGCCGCCAGATCCTGCGCCTGCCGCCCGCTCCAGGTACGCCCCGGGGGATCCCCGGTGGATCCCGGGGGATCCCTGGTGGATCCCGGGTTTTGCACTCCCCTCCTGGATCCTTATTTTGTCCTGATGGATCCCGGGGTTCCCTGCTGGATCCTGAGGTTCCCTGATGGATTCCGGGGTTCCTCAGCGGATCCCAGGGTTCCCTGGTGGATCCCGGGGTTCCCTGCTGGATCCTGAGGTTCCCTGATGGATTCCGGGGTTCCTCAGTGGATCCCAGGGTTCCCTGATGGATCCCAAGGTTCTCTGGTGGATTCCGAGGTTCCCTGATGGATTCCGGGGTTCCTTGCTGGATCTCGGGGTTCCCTGATGGATCCCAGGGTTCCCTGATGGGTCTTGGGGTTCTCTGATGGATCCTGAGGTTCCCTGGTGGATCCAGGGGTTCCTTCATGGATCCTGAGGTTCCCTGGTGGATCCTGGGGTTCCCTGATGGATCCTGAGGTTCCCTGGTGGATCCCAGGGTTCTCCGGTGGATCTCAGGGTTCCCTGATGGATCCTGAGGTTTCCTGATGGATCCTGAGGTTCCCCGGGGTTCCCTGGTGGATCCCGGGGTTCCCTGATGGATCCCGGGGTTCCCTGATGGATCCTGAGGTTTCCTGATGGATCCTGAGGTTCCCCGGGGTTCCCTGGTAGATCCTGGGGTTCCCCAGTGGATCTCGGGGTTCCCCGGTGGATCCTGGGGTTCCCCAGTGGATCTCGGCGTTCCCCGGTGGATCCCGGGGTTCCCCGATGGATCCCGGGGTTCCCCAATGGATCTTGTGGTTTCTCGGTGGATCCCGGGGTTCCTCAGTGGATCCCGGGGTTCCCTGGTGGATCCCAGAATTCCCCAGTGGATCCCAGTGTTCCCTGATGGATCCCGGGGTTCCTCAGTGGATCCTGGGGTTCCCTGATGGATCCCCAATTTCCATTCCTGAGTTCCCAGTTTCCCCTCCTGGATCCTGAGCTTTTCCTCCTGGATCCCAAAGTTCTCCTCGTGGATCCTAGATTTCTCTGATGGATCCCCAAACTCCCCTCCTGGGTCCCAGATTTTCCCTCCTGGACCCCCAGTTTCTCTTGCCGGATCCCAAATTTCCTCTTTTTGATCCCAAGTTTCCATTCCTGGGAAAGAGAGCAAATCCTAAATCTTCCGATTTTCCCTAAAATGTCTCATTTCACCCCAAAATCCCCCATTTCCCCCCAAAATTCTGCATTTCCTCCCCAAATCCTCCAAATTTTCCCCAAATTCTCCAAATTTTCCCCAAAATCCCCCATTTTCTCCCAAAATCCCCCCATTTTCCCCAAAATCCCCCATTTCCCCCACAATCTCCCCATTTCCCCCCCAAATTCCCCCATTTCCCCCCAAAATCGCCCCATTTTCCTCCTAACGCATCCAGAGGGAAAAGGATCTGGGATCCAGGGAAGGAGGGATCCAGGGAGGGAAATGTCCAGGATGAAAAGGATCTGGGATCCAGGCAAGGTGAGATCCAGGGAGAAAAGGATCTGGGGTCCAGGAAAGGAGGGATCCAATGGGAAAAAAGATCCAGAGTCCAGGAGTTGGGATCCAGGGAGGGAAAGATCCAGGACAAAAAGGCTCTGGGATCCAGGGAAGGTGGGATCCAGGGAGAAAAGGATCTGGGATCCAGGGGAGGTGGGATCCATGGGGGGAAGGCTCCAGAGGGGCGGGATCCAGCCAGAGAAGGATCCAGGGGAGGCGGGGTCCATGGGGGGAAGGATCCAGGGGAGGTGGGACCAGGGTCCAGGGATGGTGCAGGATCCAGAGCAGCAGCCAGGATCCATGGGGGGAAGGATCCAGGGGAGGTGGGACCAGGGTCCAGGGATGGTGCAGGATCCAGAGCAGCAGCCAGGATCCATGGGGGGAAGGATCCAGGGGAGGTGGGACCAGGGTCCAGGGATGATGCAGGATCCAGAGCAGCAGCCAGGATCCATGGGGGCAAGGATCCAGGGGAGGTGGGATCCATGGGGGGAAGGCTCCAGAGGGGCGGGATCCAGCCAGAGAAGGATCCAGGGGAGGCGGGATCCATGGGGGAAAGGATCCAGGATCCAGGGCAGGCAGGATCCCTGGAGGAAAAGATCATGGAGTGGTGCAGGATCCAGGGGAGGAGGGATCCAGGAGAGGTGCAGGCTCCGGGATCCATGGAGGTGGGATCTAGAGGAAGTGGGATCCAGGATCCAGGGAGGCAGGATCCATGGAGGGAAGGATCCAGAGGGGCAAGATCCAAGCAGAGAGGGGTCCAGGGGAGGTGGGATCCATGAAGGGAAAGATCCAGGATCCAGGGGAGGTGGGATCCATGGAGGAAAGGATTCAGAGGGGCGGGATCCAGCCAGAGAAGGA